CCTGTGTCACCTGTGTCACCTGTGTCACCTGTGTCACCTGTGTCACCTGTGTCACCTGTGTCTGCTGGTGCTGGGGCCTCCCGGGCTGCGGCTACAGCGGCATTGTCGTGGGGCCCTGTAGCCATGGAATAAAGGTAACAATCCAAAGATTGAAAGGCTTTAGAGGCTTAGGGCTCCTTTCTTGGCTTGAGATGGGCCAGTTCTGGTGCTTAGGAGCTGTAATGATGGCAAGGTGTCTAATTAACAGGTCAGCTGAACTACACAGGCACTGCAACACCCTTCATTAGTTTGACGCTCTGGGGGAAAAATGTATGTAATGGTTTAGGCATGCGAGATTGAAATATCCATTTTTTCAGGGAGAGATAATAGCTGTAGCTTGTATTAAGCTTGTATTAAGATGCTGTTTACAGTTTGAGTTGGTCTGTGTCTTAGTCTGCCTTTTGGCATCAAAGCAATGAAAAAATATTGTTGGAGGACCTACCTCCTACACCTCCTACCACCTGCCTGCTCACGGTCTCTCCCAGCGCAATCATTTCTTGTGTTCTACTTAGGCTCCTGTTGTCTGTGTTTAATACCAGTCTTGGATGTTGGGATATCTTGTAGAAGCCCCTTGATAAAGGCAGTACCTCGGGCAGAATGAAGAGCATGAGAAGAAAGAAAAGCAGCGATGGATCTTGGAGCAGGCAGCTTATTCCTTTCATCTAGTGGCAGAAACCTAGCTGTGAGTTTTGACATGTAACTTCGTATGTGAAAAGGGGTACTTAGAATATGGTTTAAAAATATTTTCCTTTTCCAAGTGCTGACAGACTTCTGTTCAGAGATGTGGTTATTTGTGACCTTTATTCAGATAAACCAGGTAAAGCTGATTTCTCTCTTAAAAACAAAACCCAAAAGATTGAGGGCAGGGGAACTTGGATGGCAAACTGAGCGGAATATCCTTTTCATTAGGTAGTAGGGATTCTGTGTATATTTAACCACTAGAAATGAGTGATAATAAGCTCGGAACTGTCCATTTTCATAAGTGCTGTTAGCTCAGAAGCGTGTCATAAATTCATTGTCCATCTCTCTTTGCTTGTCCCAAGGAGCGTCAGTCACAAATACAAATGGAGCCTGTCAGACCATCTCCCCCAGTCTTCTGGAAAATTGGACAGAAGTTTAATTACAGTGAATATCTTTTATCTGACAGAGATAAGTGCTGACTTTTTCAGTAGGTTTTATGATTTATTTTGTGATCAAAAGAAGCACTTAATATATAATATAGCACAAGGTAGGGATTTTTTCCCCTGTGCATCTATATAGCACGTTGCACCTTGATTTATGTGTGAAGATGTGTGTGTGTGTACCTAATGCCAGACAGATGTTTGTTCACAGCACTTCAGGGTGATATTAATTGCTGGCAGGTTCTAGCTCATTTGCAGAGTAATTTTATATAAAAAAAAGACTACTTGATAATGCTAGACCTATTATTTTCATCAGAACTTTTGTGCGTTCTTTTTTGTACCAGAAAGTAGTTGATAGTGTCCCATGAAATGACCAATCTGCTCTTTTCAAATGAACATTCAGATTGTTTAAGTTTCCAGGGCAGCATGTGGGTTATTACTGACTATAGCTCAGAAAAAAATAAAGCTTTTCTAATTTTCTTCAGCTATACAGTACGTGCTAACAGAAATTAGGAAGGTAAAAAATAACTTAGTGGAGATGTTGACTTTTGCTCCCGGTTCTAAACACAAGGAATGTTGCCCAGCTCTTTGCTTTTCATGATTGTGTCATTTTTCGTCTGCTTTCCTGGGGACATGAGGCTTGTGTTACCCTGCTTTGTGTGGGTGAGGAGATGAGATTGTCTGCCCTCAACTTCTGAATTTGCTGGCTGTTTTCAGTCAAGCTTGGCAGAGGTTAACCGTCCCCAAAATGGCAAATTCCAGCAACTTGAGCTCTTTTCCTGCGAGTTATCTAAGGTTCCTGCAAGCGAAAGAGCCTCTTAAATGTCACATTGACAAAAGGCTCCAATGGGAGATCGTGCGTCTTTAGACACCTCTTATGCAGCCCGATGGCGCGATGGCATTTGATAGAATTGTGATACTGTTCCTGGTTGATCTGGGTACTGTGTTCATCTGGTTGGTATGAAAAAGGAAAGTCAACTTGTGTCA